GGTGACAGAACCCCTCCTACTGCCTGTCCAGCAACCTCAGGTCCCCACACAGTGTAAAGGGGAGCAGTGGGGATGCCTAGGGCTCTGGCCTGCATGGCTCTGTGCATGGCAGAGCCGAGGGCCGAGGGGAGGAACAAAGGTACCATGTGAGAGGGATAGGAGGGGATCCAAGACCCCAGGCCAGCCAGAGTTGGGGGAAGGAGATGTGGGCAGAAATGGGGAGAGGGGGATGAAGGCCTCCAAGGGGCTGTAGCTGTGGCACAGGAATGTGGGAAAGGTTAGCGATGGAGCAGGTGACAGGTGGAGGATGGTTAGTGAAGGGTGATCCCTAGCACTGCGAGCACAGCAGGCTTGCGAGCGCATCCCAGAGGTCAGCAGCTACCACTGGAGACACAGCAAAGCTAAAGGTGATACCAGGAGACTGGCAGTGGCCTGAACCAGGACAGAATAGTGGACGAAAAAAAAAGGGGTGAATGCCGGGCGCCGGTGGCTCACGCCTGTAATCCTAATTACCCAGGAGGCTGAGATCTGAGGATCATGGTTCAAAGCCAGCCCAGGCAGGAAAGTCCATGAGACTTATTTCCAATAAACCACTAGAAAACCGGAAGTGGTGCTGTGGCTCAAGTGGTAGAGCACTCGCCTTGAGCTAAACAGCTGAGGGACAGTGCCCAAGCCGAGTTCAAGCCCCACAACCGACCAAAACAAAACAAAAGGGGGGGGTGATAGGTCTTGGCCCTCCCACTTGGTGGGACGTAGGACCCCAGCCCTGATCCCCTCCTCAGCACACCTAGCAGCTTTGCTGTCTACCCCCCAGTTCCTCTGGCAAAGGGAAGAAGGTGTGGCTGACGCATGTGGGATGCTGGCATCTTCCCCAGAAAAGAGAAGCTTGTGGGCTGCTAGGCCTCCAGGTACCTGATCTGGTCTGCAGCATGGCAGGTGGGCTCCCTGTTTTCTGTCACCCACTCACTGCCAGCCCCTCCCCCCACAGCCAGCCCCCAAACATGCCCCACACCCTCTACTTCAGGAGGCTTGGCTGCCACCTCTCCTGGCTCCTGCGACCTCTGTCCCAGGTCCCCAGTAAGGCTCCTCTCCTCTTCCCAAGCTTCAGGTGCTGCTGGCAGGGATGGGGTCAGGGGACCCTGGGGTCCCTGGGGAGGTGGGGACAGGGGCTGCTCCCTCTCACTGGAACTCTGGTGTGTGTGTGTGTGTACATGCTGTTCCCTCTCCAGCCCAAACCAGCCTCCTGTGCTAGCCTCTGAGGGCAGAGACCACCTGGATCACTGCTCAGCACCCCCCATAACTATTAGTTCCTGCTTATAATCAGTAGGCAGCTCCCTGCTGGATGCCTCCCACAGAGTCCTGTCCCCCCCTTCCCCCCAGCATGTCCCAAGTACTTCCGGATCACAGGAAGTCGCCCTTCCCACAGCACAAGCTCCATAAGAAAGGTGTCTGGGAGGTGCTGGAGAAAGGGCTGCAACTTGGCGAGGCAGCCTGCTCAAGCCCTGGTTTTATGAACACACCCCACCCCTCTACCTCAACAAACCGACACCCACCCATACGCCCATCCACAGGGCCCAACTACACAAGCAATGGTACACCAGTTAGTCAGCAGAAGTAATGAGAAAGCCAGGCACGGTGGTGGTCGCCTGGCCTCCCCAACACTCGGGAGGCTGAGGAAAAGGACAGAGCTCTGCCAGACCCTACCTTGCAAGAATGGGGACAGGAAAGAGGGGGAAAAAAACATGTCATATATATGGTTCAAGTGTGTGTCACACATGCACATGTATCCCACACATACACCTAAGATATATGAATTCTTACTAATGTAACAAAAGGAAAGTGAAAGGTGAAATGATGATGATGGAACCTGGACAACAGAGACGCTAACAGAATGCTCTCCACCAGGTTCTCAAACTCCAAACTAGAAAATAGACATGGATCTTTTCTCATTAAGAAAAACTGGCTGGGGGCTGGGGAAATGGCTCAGGGGAAGAGTGCTTGCCTTGCATGCATGAGGCCCTGGGTTCAATTCCTCAGCACTACATAAGCAGAAAAAGCCAGAAGTGGTGTTGTGGCTCAAGTGGTAGAGCGCTAGCCTTGAGCTGAAGAGCTGAGGGTCAGCGCCCAGGCCCAGAGTTCAGGCACTATGACCGACCAACCAAAAAAAAAAAGGGGAGGGGGGGGGGAAACTGGCTGGGTGCTGGTGGCTCATGCCTGTAATCCTAGCTACTCAGGAGGCTGAGATCTGAGTGAGGATCACAGCTTGCAGCCAGGGCAGAAAAGAGTCTTTAAGATGCTTATTTCCAATTAACCACCAAAAGGCTGGAAGTGGAGCTGTGGCTCAAGTGGCAGTGTCAGCTTTGAGAAGCAAAAGATAAAACAACAACAACAACAAAAACCTCAGAGACAGTGCCCAGGCTCTGGTTTAAGCCCTAAGACTGGTACAAAAAAAAAAAAAAAAAGGGGAAAGAAGAGGGAGGGAAGGAGAGGAATAGAGTAGATAGGTATGTAGGTATAGATAGGAAGTATTGTATGTACAATTGTACTGGTGAGGAGTCCCAAGACCATGATTCAGCCTAAGCTCTGCTATGTCACTCAGGTTGTGACCCATGAAAACCACCAAGCTTCCCAGAGCCAGTTTCTCTCCTGTGCAGGGGGCAGGGACGAGGATGGGATACACAGACAAGACCTGTCAATCATTGCTGTGATCCTTCATAAATCATTTGTCCTCTCAAAGCCTGTTCTTCCTCTCTCTGCTGATTATAAAAGGGAATAGTGTCATTTGCCCTTCCAGAATGTTGCAAGAATGAAACATGTATCCAAAGTGCTCAGCACAGTATCCAGCACATAACATGCACAGAATGACAGCAGGTGTCACTGCTGCCCAGTGAGGTAGCAACATTGGCCCTGCCTACACAAAGGGATATATCTATATATATATGTATATGCATATACATATATATATGAATGTACATATATATATATATATATGTAAAACAAGACACTAAGAGTTTTGGAAGAAGAGAGCTGGCCACCAAATGCAGATAACTTATGTAAGGTGTCTGAGCCACCCCAGCCCCAGCCTCTCAGGGGAGGACAGGCTAAGACTAGCCCCGTGGGAGGGAGAAATGCAGCTATGGGAGAGCGCTCCCCATTCATCTGGTTACTTAGATTCCTACTTCAACGAGATAGAAAACAGCCAATCAGCCAGGGCAAGCTGGGCTGCCAGAAGCAAGTATGGACTCCTGCTAATAACACCCCAGCCAGAAACCCTCAGATCCTGGCGGCCCATCCCTAAATCGCTTCAAATCTTCAGCTTTTCTGGGGCCTCAGACTTGTCCAGACACTGTCCAAAGGGACCCACGATTCTCAAGGTCAACAAACCCAGCCCAAATCCTCCCTCTATCATACATCCTGGAGAGGGGTATCCCCACCCCCCAAAAATACCCCATCTCCACCCAGGGTTCCTCTGAGATGTTTCTTCACTCTGCCTTTCTGCTCTACACATGTTCCCCCTAATGCATCACCCCAAGGTACCCGACTGATTTTCCTCATCTCAGGCGCCCCTGTCTTCACGTTGGCAAAGCTCCGGACACGCCCCCTCCAGCTCAGGGCCCTCTACCTGACTGACACCGCACGTCCCTCTCAGAGCCAACGCCACTCCTCCACACCTCCAAAATGGGGGTCCTAGGTCGCACCCTAAGACCTTTCCGCGCCTTCACTCCCAGGGACGACCTCTTCTTCCCCATTCTCTGCAGCCACTCATGCCAGGGCTCCCGCAAGTTTCCTCTCAGACTGGACCTCACACACTTCATTCTGGGACCCTTCGCAACCATAGTCCCACTCCAAAAGTCCTAGCACTGCCATCTTTCAGTCCCACACCCCCCACCCCCGTTTCTCCTGTCCGAACGCCTCCAGATCAGCCCGTCCCAGGCTCCCGGACTTCCTCCCCTCGCTCTCCTCGGACTGTCTCGCGCCCAGGGGGCCCCGAGTGACCCCCCCCCATGACACCCCTTTCTATCCCACCCGGAGCGCTGATTCAACCTCCAACCTGTCAGCTGGCCGGAGACGGGTTGGGGGGGTGTCCCTCGGTCTCGCCAGACACCCCCCTCCGCTCCCTTTCCCGCGTTCTCCGAGGTCCCCTCGGGGTCTCCGGAGCCCCCCGGCTGGCCGGTCCCTCCCACCCCCGGCCCTCTGCCCGTCCCGCCCGGCCGGTCCCAGGGTCCTCCCGGCCCAGAGCCGACCCAGGCCCCAGGACTCCGCGCTCGGACGGCCCCCGGCCGCTCCCCGGGACCGTGGCGGGACCGTGGCGGGACCGTGGCGGGCCCCTCCCGCCCCCCCCGGCCGTCCCGGCGGCCATTGCTCCAAGATGGCGGCGGCGGCGGCGGCGGGTGAGGCCGGGCCGGGCGGGGGCCGGGGCCGGGCAGCGGGGCGGGCGGGGGTCGGGCCGGGCTCGCGGCGCTCACCTGCAGCTCGGCGCGCTCGGCCTCCCAGCGGGCCTTCTCGGCCTCGAAGCGCGCCCACTCGTGCTGGATGAAGTGCAGGATCCCGGGCAGGCTGAGGGGCTCGGGGCCGGCGGCGGGCCCGGGGCTGCCCCCGCCGCCGCCGCCGCCGCCTTTCCCGGCCGGACCGGACCCGGAAGCAGGCCCGGAGCCCGGGGCCGCGCCAGTTGGGCCGGGGCCCGGGCCGGAGCCGAGCGGTCGGCAGGAGGAGGCGGCGGCGGCGGCGACCGCGGCGGCCGCTCGCTCCTCCATCATGGAGGCCCCGGGCCGAGCCCGCGCGCCCGCTGTGCCTCCCGCGCCTGCGCGGCCGCGCCGCTCCCCCCCCCCCTCCCGCGCGCGCACCCGCCCGGCGGGGGAGGGGACGGGGACCGGGACGAGCGCGGGCTCCGACGCGCGCCTCGCCCACCCGGGTCGGCCCCAAGGCGCGCGTGCGCGTGAGTGGGAGGGGCGGGGCGGGGCGGGGCGGGGGCACGCGCCCCGAAGGTCCTGCGCCTGAGCGGTACTTAGAGAGAGGGGGGGCACCTTCCTGCTTCGCTCCTCCCACTTAGCCCCAGAGACTCTTCCCTCCTTAGACACAAATAGTCCCCCCTCCCCCCGTAGCTCTTAGTTCCTTGAGAGAAAGGGGGACCACCGTAGGTGTTTGCAAGAGGTGTCCCATTCCGTCTTGGTTCCTGGCCAGGTCGGTTGTCATGGCAACCCTTTCCAACCTGGCGCCCCCACCCCTTCTCCAATCGCTCCTCCTCTCCCCCTTTGTGTCTTGTGGAGCCCCAAACCGATCCTGTCTTGGTACCAAGAAGAGGTTGCTAAGGTAACCCAAGTCCCCGGTGGTCCTTCTGCTCCTACCCCCATCGGTTACCATGGCAACCTCCTTCACCTAGTGCTCAGGTAGAAAGGACCCCAGCCCCAAGGACACGGGATTCTTAAGAAAAACACCTCTTTCTCAACCTCTCTCTGGTAGCTACCCGGTTAGCCATTACCATGGTAACCGTCTCCCCTTCCCATGTGGGAGGTCCAGGGACCAAACCAACCAGGTGTTTTTATTTAGAGATGTTCTGGGGCAGTTGCTATGGTTACAGGGCCTGGACCATCTCTCCAGGGAGATGAGAAATTGGCAAGGCTAAGCTTTGCTTACTGTGTTAACAGGGAGCCCCCTACCCCCTTACAGTGACCCTAGGAACCAGCCCCCCCCCAAAGGAGGGAACGTTTTAGGATTGTCTTTTGGAGATGCAGTGTGCCTACAAAAGGTGTTATCATGGTAACATTTTTTTTTTTAGCCTTAACTTTTCTGGACACATCCATGAGAGAGGAATGGTTTTAGGTTACTGTGAAAACTCTCATCTCTCCCAAGTATCCCACCCCACTCCTGTTACACCCTCTTGTGGTACCCAGGTTTATGGGACTTCCAGAAAATGGGGTTCTCTGACCTTGTAGATGGCAGTACTGAGTGAGGGGAAGAAGAGATGGTGCTGTGTTGTACAAAGTTGGCTCATGCAGGGTTTTCTGGTTTTCTTTCCCTCAGCACAACAGCTGGGCTGGGCTGTCACTGCCCTCCTGGAGCTCCCCCAGCCTGCCACCTAGGAGGTAAGAAGTCCCTCAGCTCCTGGGAAATTGCCCTTTCCTCACAGGCTTTCCCAAATTGATTGCAGTTTCCTCTCCGCTGCAGAGGCTGGGGCCAGTTCAGAGTGATGCACAGAGCAGAGCATAGTTTCATGGGGGAATGAAGAGAGCAGGGAGATCACCGCTTAACCTCTTTCTCCATCCCTGCCCCCTTCTCTAGGCAGGCCCTGCTTCTCTTGCTCACGTCCCCACTCTTTCCCACCTCGTCTGTAAATTGTTTGGGCTTTGTCAGGTGTCTCAGGTCTGCAGGACAATCCCAACCTAGTGCTCACCTCCTTCATCCTGGGTCATCAGAACACAGGATCAGGTGGGGAGGAGGGTGGCTGAGGGGGGAAAGATGTGGGGAGGGGGGGAACACAACTAGTGGCTCATGCCTGTAAGCCTAGTTACTTAGGAGGCTGAGACCTGCAGGATCACTTTTCAAGGCTAGCTCAAACAGAAAAGTCCACAAGAATCTATCTCCAAAATAGCCAGAACAACAAAAAAAAAGCAAACAATATGAGTTCAGTTCATCTTGTGCCATGCTCAAGCATGGCATAAGCACCTGCCGAGTCAAGGTGCGGGGAGATTCACAGACTCATTGGAGATGGACTGAAATTGGGCTGCCCAGGGGGCTACAGGAGAGAGCGCTGTGTTGATTGGTTTAAAGCATGACTCTGGAACCAGCTTCTTGAGCCCGCTGCTTCCTAGCTGTGTGACGTTGAGCAAGCGACTCCACCTGTCCCTGCCTGTCTTCCCATGCTTGTTTGTGTATGTGGTGTATGTGGTGCTTGAAATGTAGTGCCCAGGGCCTCATGTATGCAAACATCCATTCTACCCTATGATGTGATCGTACTATTAGGATTGAATGACTGTGAAGTCCATAGAACCCAGCCTAGCACATCATAAGCTGCCACGAATGTTTTATCATCCTGACCCAGAGTGATGTAGAGCAGTCCAATTTTCAATCTCACCATTCCAAAACTGGGCATCACTGGTTCCTGCTGGCCCAGGCTGGCCTTCAATTCCTGGGCTCAAGTGATCCTCCTGACTCAGCTTCCCAAATAGCTGAAACTAAGGGTATGCGCTGCCATACCTGGTGTCACTCTTCTCTTTCTCTGCAGTGCTGAGGGATGGGACTCAGGGCCTTACTGAGCCATGACCACTGCTCCTGAGCCATGCCTTCAGTTCAGGAGCCGCTCTTAAAGTACAGCTCACATTCTTAAGTGCTGTCCAAGTGGAACTGAAGGAAGACTAGCAGCAGTGGATGGACCAAGGACTAGGAAGGCATTGTTGCCTCTCAGGGGAGACAAAAGAGGGAAGACCAAGGAATGGCTGACCTGAGTGGGCGTTACAGATACACAGAAGCCCTCACCTTGGACACTGTATTTTTTGATCAGTTGTGGGGCTTGAACTCTGGGCCTAGGCGCTGTCCCTCAGCTCTTCAGCTCAAGGCTAACGCTCTACCACTTGAGCCACAGCACCACTTCCGGCTTTTTTCTTTTTGATTATGTGGTGCTGAGGAATCAAACCCAGGGCCTCATGCATGCAAGGCAAGCGCTCTACCACTGAGCCACCTTCCCAGCCCCCCACTTCTGGTTTTCTAGTGGTTAATTGGAGGTAAGAGTCTCACAGACTTTCCTGCCCAGGCTGGCTTTGAACCACGATCCTCAAATCTTAGCCTTCTGAGCTAGGATTACAAGAGTGAGCCACTGACACCTGGCTGGACACTGCATTTTTAAATTGTAGTTTTGGGTTGTTTCATTTTTGGAGACAAGGTCTCACTAGGCAGTTCAGGCTATCCTGGAATGCTTGATCATGCTGCCTTAGCCCTCTGAATGCTGGGATTACATATGTGCATCAGTATGCCCGGCTCTGTGTGTTGGGGACACAGTGAAGATAGAGGAGTTCTTCCCTCCCAGAGTGCACAGGCTGGTAGGACAAGCGGACTCATTAACCAGTGATGAACCAGTATGGGCAGGGCTGGGATGAGGAGAAGGGAGAGGAGAGTTGCTGCAGGAGTGTGACAAGCAGTCTTGATAAGTCAGAGAAGCCTTCCTGGAGGAAGGAGTGGCCAGCAGAAATGGAAATTCTCTAGGAGAAAGAAGTCTAGAAGAAGGGATGTTGGAGAGGAGATCCTTCTAGTTAATGCTCCACCACTTGAGCCACAAGCCCCACTTCCAGCTTTTCTGGTGCTTAATTAGAGCTAAGAATCTTATAGACTTTCCTGTCCAGGCTGGCTTTGAAAAAGCCCCTAAAAAACTTTTTTCAGGGGCCGGGATATGGTTTTGCAATAGAGCTTGCATAGTTTGTGCAAGGGCCCCAGATTTGGCCTCTGCACCAGAGAGGGAGGGAGGGAGAGAGGAAGGGAGGGAGGGAGGGAGGGAGGAAGGGAGGGAGGGAGGGAGAAGATAGAGCTAGAAAGCAAGCAAGCAAGCAAGAATGAATGAATCTTGGTGAAATTGCGCCAAACCTAAGTTGTGATGTGTGATGGACAGGGAGACAGCGCCATCTGGTGTTTGCTTGGGAGTGTGGCCCATGATTAGAGACCAGCCTCTCTAAATGACATGGCCTCCGTTGTGGTCTTTTTATTTATTTATAATTTTTTTTTTTTTTGGTCAGTCATGGGGCTTGAACTCTAGGCCTGGGCGCTGTCCCTCAGCTCTTCAGCTCAAGGCGAGCACACCACCGCTTGAGCCACACCCAAGCCACTTGGTTTTCTGGTGGTTCATTGGAAGTAAGAGTCCAAGCCATGGGTTGGGAAGGTGGCTCGGTGGCAGAGCGTTTGCCTTGCATGCCTGAGGCCCTGGGTTCGATTCCTCAGCAACACATAAGCAAAAAGAAAAAAGCCGGAAGTGACGCTGTGGCTCAAGTGGTAGAGCGCTAGCCTTGAGCTGAAGAGGTGAGGGACAGTGCCCAGGCCCAGAGTTCAGGCCCCACGACCGGACCCCCCCCCCCCCAAAAAAAAAAAAAAAGAGTCGAAGCCACTTGGTTTTCTGGTGGTTAATTAGAGATGAGTCTCACAGACATTCCTGCCCGGGCTGGCTTTGAACTGCGATCCTCAGATCTCAGCCTCAGTAGCTAGGATGACAGACCTCTGCCTCCGGTGCCCGGCTTATTGTAGTCTTTTTAGAGGTAAGGTCTCAGGACGACCTTGGAATTCTCGATCCTCCCACCTCAGCCCTAAGGGTGCTTAAGTGTGCAAGGGGGCGGGGGGGGGGGGTGGGGGGGGGGAGGGGGAAGGCTGGTGACTCACACCTGTAATCCGGGCTACTCAGAATCTTCCAGAGTCCATCCCCAATTAGCAAAATAATACCTGCCTTGGTAGACTACACAGCCCCAGTTCAGAGTTCAAGACCCAGGACTGGCAAAAAAAAAAAAAAAAAAAGCGCGGGAAAGCTGGGGTCCCCCCCCACACACACACACCCTCCCCGCTTTCCTCTCCAGGACGCCAGAGCCCCGGCTGCCGGCCCCATGCGGCTCCCGCGCTACTGGGCTGTGATGGCCGCCGCCATCACCCTGAACCTCCTGGTCTTCTTCTACGTCTCCTGGCTGCAGCACCAGCCCCGGAACCCCCGGGCCCGTGCCCCCCGCCGTGCAGCTGCCGCCGGCCCCCGGGTCACCGTGCTGGTGCGGGAGTTTGAAGCGTTTGACAACGCGGTGCCCGAGCTGGTGGACTCCTTCCTCCAGCTGGACCCGGCCCAGCCCGTGGTGGTGGCGGCCGACACGCTGCCCTACCCGCCGCTGGCCCTGCCGCGCCTCCCCAACGTCCGCCTGGCGCTGTTGCAGCCGGCGCTGGACCGGCCCGCCGCCGCCTCGCGCCCCGAGACCTACGTGGCCACCGAGTTCGTCGCCCTGGTCCCGGACGGGACGCGAGTCGAGGCGCCGGGACACCTGGAGCGCATGGTGGAGGCGCTCCGGGCCGGCAGCGCCCGCCTGGTAGCCGCCCCGGTGGCCACGGCCAACCCGGCCCGCTGCCTGGCCCTGAACGTCAGCCTGCGGGAGTGGACGGCCCGCTACGGCCCGGCCCCGGCGGCGCCCCGCTGCGACGCGCTGGACGGGGACGCCGTGGTGCTGCTGCGCACGCGCGACCTCTTCAACCTGTCGGCCCCGCTGGCGCGGCCGCTGAGCACGGGCCTCTTCCTGCAGACGGCGCTGCGCGGCTGGCCGGTGCGGCTGCTGGACCTGCCCTTCGCCGCGGCCCGCCAGCCCCCGCTGGCCACGGCGCACGCGCGCTGGAAGGCGGAGCGCGAGGGGCGCGCGCGGCGGGCGGCGCTGCTGCGCGCGCTGGGCATCCGGCTGCTGGGCTGGGAGGGCGGGCGGCTCGAGTGGTTCGGCTGCAGCAAAGAGAGCGCGCGCTGCTTCGGGACGGTGGTGGGCGACACGCCCTCCTACCTGTACGAGCGCCGCTGGACGCCGCCCTGCTGCCTGCGCGCGTTGCGCGAGACGGCGCGCCACGTGGTGGGCGTGCTGGAGGCGGCGGGCGTGCGCTATTGGCTGGAGGGCGGCTCGCTGCTGGGCGCCGCGCGCCACGGCGACATCATCCCCTGGGACTACGACGTGGACCTGGGCATCTACCTGGAGGACGTGGGCAACTGCGAGCAGCTGCGCGGCGCCGAGGCGGGCTCGGTGGTGGACGAGCGCGGCTTCGTGTGGGAGAAGGCGGTGGAGGGCGACTTCTTCCGCGTGCAGTACAGCGAGAGCAACCACCTGCACGTGGACCTGTGGCCCTTCTACCCGCGCCACGGCGTCATGACCAAGGACACCTGGCTGGACCACCGGCAGGACGTCGAGTTCCCCGAGCACTTCCTGCAGCCGCTCGTGCCGCTGCCCTTCGCCGGCTTCGTGGCGCAGGCCCCCAACAACTACCGCCGCTTCCTGGAGCTCAAGTTCGGCCCTGGGGTCATCGAGAACCCCGAGTACCCCAATCCCGCGCTCCTGAGTCTGGCCGGTGGCTGAAACCGCCCCTGGAGGTGGGGGGGTGTCCGTGCCGACGGGGAGAAATGGGGTGCATCAAGTGCTGAGGGCCCTGGGTGGGCAGAACCGGCCCCTCCTGGGTCCCGGTGCAGACCTCCGACTTCCGATCCAGGGTTAGGGGGGCCTGCGGCGGTAGCCCTTTGCCTCAGTTTCCCCCCCGGGGTTTTCGGCGCTCCTGCTTGTGAGACCCGCCCACTAGAGGGCGCCGTGGCCTGATGGACCCCTCACTCCTTCCCCGGAAGTGATCGCTGCTACTCTGACCCTTCCCCCCCCCACCCTTTTCAGGGACTGAGGCCACAGTGGCCAATTCCCTCGCCCCAGCTCCTCACGTCCCTATCCAGCTGCCAGGTGGGGAGCTGAAGGCAGGACTGCAGGCTCCAGAGCCCGTACTTCCTCTCTATAGCCACCTCCATAAATGGTACACAGGGGAGGGGGACTTTGGGGAACCCCCATTTGTCTTGATCAAGCATCTAAGAGTGAGCTCCCAACATATCATGTCTGTATTTATTTCTAAATTATGTGCAAGTGTTAATACAGTCTGTATGTTACTAATAAGGCTTAAATAATTCCACTTTAAAATTAAAAATGTAGCTGGGTGATTTAGGCTTATATTCCAGCTATTTAGGAGATGGAGATCTGAGAATCATAGTTTGGAACCAGCCTAGGCAGACAAATCCTCAAGACTGTATCTCCAATTAACTAGCAAAAAGCCAGGATAGGGGCTGGGAAGGTGGCTCAGTGGTAGCGTGCTTGCTTTGCATGCATGAGGCCCTGGGCTCGATTCCTCAGCACTGCATAAGCAGAAAAAGCTGGAAGTGGTGCTGTAGCTCAAGTGGTAGAGTGCTAGCCTTGAGCTGAAGAGCTGAGGGACAGCGCCCAGGCCCAGAGTTTAGGCCCCACAACAACAACAAAAAAAAAAAGGCCAGGCTAGAGGTTCAATTGGTAGAGCACTAGCCATGAGTGGAAAAAAAAAAAAAGCAAAGGCCTTGGGCATGGTGCCAGCATAAATAAATAAATGCATGAATGAATGAACGAGTAGGGGCTTTACTGTCTTTCCTCATCCTAGCAGGCTGGCCTTGAACACCTGGTTCAAATGGCCCTCCAGCTGTATTCATTGGCTCATATCTGTAATCCCAGCTGCTCAAGAAGCAGCCAGGCCCTGATGGTTCACACCTGTCATCCTAGCTACTCAAGAGGCTGAGATCTGAGGATCACATTTCACAGCCAGCCCGGGCAGAGAAGTTTGTGAGACTGGTCTCCAAATGACCACCTGGAAACTAGAAGTAGAGATGTGGCTTGAAGTGGTAGAGCGCCAACCTTGAGCAAAACAGCTTAGGGAAGTGCCCAGGCCCCGAGTTCAAGCCCCACAACTGGCCAAAAAAAAAAAGGCAGCAACAGAGATTGGGAAGGTATCAGTTAGAGGCTAACCCACCCAAAACATTAGTGAGACCTCCTACACAAAGAAAACAAGCCTGGTTGACATGTCTATGATCCTAGCTCCACAGAGATCCTGGTCTGAGAACAGCCTAAAGCAAAACTGCAAAACTCAACCTGAAAAATAAGGCAAAAGGCTGGAGGCATGACTCGGGTGGTATCACACCTGCCTGGCAAGCAGTTCAAACCTCAGTATGGAAGAACTAAGAAACAAAAAGGATCCTCTTGCAGCAGGCTATTTAGTGCTGGATTACAAGTATCCCCCACCATTCTCAACCCTGAGGTGTATTTCTTGAAAAGCACTGAGCTGAGGATGTAGCTCAGAGGCAGAATGAGAATCATTATTAGCTGACCTGAGCTCCCAAGGGGTTAGTAATTTCTCAGTGCTACCACAGTGTTTTTGGGGACCTTTCTCTCTACTATTCATGAATAGCAAAAACCATTCAGGGCCTTACCATGCTGTCTCATTGGTTTTATATAGCCAAACAATTATAGTCAGCTAAATTTGGCTATGATAGGAAACTCCTACTAACAATTAAGATGAACTGAGTTTATATTAGAATATGGACTATTGAAACTTGCCTTTATCAAGTCTTTGGTTTTTGTATGTATGTGTGCTGGTATCGCAGTGGTGGCAGAACTAGTTCAGGGCTCTTGGATTTTTCACTCAAGGCTAGCACTCTACCACTTGAGCCACAGCTCCACTACTGGCTTTTTGGTGGTTCATGCAAGAGAAATTTCACGCATGCCAGGTGCCGGTAGCTCACGTCTGTAATCTCAGGAATACTCAGGAAGGATCAGAGTTCCAAGCAAATCAGGGCAGGAAAGTCCATGAGACTCTTTTCTCCCGATTAACCACCAAAAACCGGAGGTAGTGCTGTGGCTTAAGTGATAGAGTGCTGCCCTTGAGCTGAAGAGCTTAGGGACAGTGCCCAGGCCCAGAGGTCAAGCCCCATGACCAACCAAATAAGTTTCACAGGCTCTCCTGACTGGGTGGCTTCAAATCTAAATCCTCAGCTCTCAGCTTCCTGAGTAGCTAGGATGACAGGTGTGAGTCACCAACTAGTAAGTGTTAATTACTAATATGAAGCAGCCAGAAGAGAAGTAATGAACATTTCAAAAGCTACACTGTACTGCAACAAACCAGCTAGACTCCAGCCTCCCTGCAGGTGAACATGCAAGCAGCAACATGGAGCACAGAATCAAATTCTCCCTTGTAAATATACCAAGTCCTTTTGAAAGGGATTAGGGGCTGGGCATTTTCCAGGAAGTACCAGCCTTGTGTGAAATGAGGGATGTCTGTATGCTGTACTGTTAGAATCTTGGCAGTGACTCTCCACCATATCATCAAATCGCCTTGTAAACAAACGGCTCTGGGTAATTAGACACCAATACAAGGCATTTCCACCACCCAAGCTTACAGAAGTCACAGGCTGACTGTGATCTTTGGCAGGTAGCCCCACAAGTTTACATATGAAAATGTGTATTCCATGGGCTGGGAAGGTGGCTCAGTGGTAGAGTGCTTGCCTTGCATGCATGAGGCCCTGGGTTTGATTCCTCACTACCACATAAGCAGAAAAAGCCAGAAGTGGCGCTATGGCTCAAGTGGTACAACACTAGCCTTGAGCTGAAGAGCTGAGGGAGCCCACAGTTCAGGCCCCATGACTGACCAAAAAAAAAAAACACAACAGTTTATTCCAAATGACCATCCTTTCATTTTTCCTTTGAATTATGATTAGGATGATAATTGAATTTGTGAGTTTTTTTTTCCCCCCTTCAGGGTTGAGGATCAAACCCAGGGCCTTATTTCTTTTTGGATAGAGATCATTTATTTTTGCCCAGGGCTAGCCTTTGACTTTGATCCTCCTACTTAAGCCTCCCAACTAGCTAGGATAACAAGTGTGAATACTAGGCCTGGTTTGTTGAGGAGGGGGGGGGGGGTGGGATGGGTCCCAGGGGAGTGACCATGGGGTACTTTTCCTCAGGTCTTACATGACCTCCAGTGGCCTTGGGATAAGGCATAACAGAGCCATTGTTCCCCCAGCTGGGAAAATTGGCAGCCCCCCAAGGTCATATACCTGGTAGGCAGCCAGCTTCTCACAGACAGGCAGCCTTGGAACAGCTGGAGCCCTGTTTACTCATTCACTGCCAATCCTGAGCTCCTGAGATGTGGGGCCAGGCCTGTGCAGTGCAGTACAGTAGTAACCCACCAGTATAATAAACTAGCCAGTCTTACAAACACATGAAAGGCCCAAAGTATTGTTTGTTTGGCGCTAACCAGCACTGCAAAAGTAAATAAAGCATTCAAGAGGGTGTGGCTGGAGGATCTCAAGTTTGAGACCAGCCTGGGCTATGTGGCGTATTCTTGTCTTAAAATACCTAAGTAAGTAAATAGCATGGGTCTTTTTTTTTTTTTTTTTTTGTCAGTTGTGGGGCTTGAACTCTGGGTCTGGGTGCTGTCCCTCAGCTCTTCAGCTCAAGGCGAGCGCTCTACCACTTGAGCTACAGCACCACTTCCCTAAGTAAGTAAATAAAATAAACCTATGAGCAACTAGAATAGAATAGGTGCCCACAGAGCAGCGTGGGGAACGAGATGGAGGTGACATTTAAGCAATGGCTGAGGAGTCAAGTAGAGATGGGGGAAAGGAGGAGTGTCCAGGCTGTGAATAGCTAGTGCCAAGGCCCGGAGGCAGGAGAGGCCTGGTATGCTGGAGAGAGAATGAAGGAATGAGTGGGAAGTGGGGAGGAAGGCAGGAGAATGGGAGGTGAGGCTGGTGGGCCTTGGCTTTTTCTGAAAGACTTGGCATTAGAAATGGAGGCCACCCCCAAATGGAAACTGGCGCCCTCTGGTGGTCATGCTGGGAACAGACTAAAGTGGCAAGAAGGTCCAAGGTTGGGCTGCTATCACTGGACCAGGTGGTGCATATAGCATGGGGTGCAGCAGAAAGGGCCAGATTGGGGAGTTCTTTACAGAACAGAGAAAATGGGATTGCTGATAGCCTGGATATGAGTGTAAGGTCTAAAGGGCCTGTGCAGGGTCTCTTGTACCAGGCTCCTCTCCTTCTGTAATCCCTGAACCTTCCCACCAACACCAGATAGAATCAACCCAAGTGAACCAAGTCACCATGATCTCTGATGACTGCAGCTGCACCCTGCGTGTGTTAGCACTGGTGAGTGTTGCCTGGTGCCCAGCTATTGAAAGGTTCCAGGTTTGAGTCCCAGCCCCTGGAGGAGGCAGCAGTGGCTCACCCCCTCACTCACCATCCTTCTGAATGACTTGCAAGGATTTCACTGAAGACAGTTCAGTAGCTTTAAAAACCTGTTTGAAATTGCTCAATGGCAAATGTCTGTAATCTCAGCTTCCTCAGGAGCTGGAGATCTGGAGGATAGAGGTTCTAGGCCAGCCTTGGCAAAAACTTAATGCGACCTCATCTCAATCCATAAACGGGATGTGTGGTAGTACATTCCAATTATCTCAGCTATGTGGGTAGTGTATCCTTCTAGGACATCCTTAAGAAATACAAGACCCTATCCTGGAAGAGAAAACCCTAAAGTTACTAGGCACGCGGTCAGAATGGGCATGGTTAAAGTGATAGCGCACCTGCCAAGCAACTGCAATGTCTTGAGTTCAAATCTAATGTCAAAAAAAAAGGAGAAATTAAATTGCATAGGATATTTTTCCCATTGGGGGGGGGGGTCATTCATGGAGCTTGAACTCCAAGACCTGAGCACTGTCCCTGAACTTTTTCACTCAAGGCTCTACCACTTGAGCCACAGCTCCACTTAGTTTTCTGGTAGTTAATTGGAGATAAGAGTCTCACAGCCGGGCGCTGGTGGCTCACGCCTGTAATCCTAGCTACTCAGGAGGCTGAGATCTGAGGATCGCGGTTCAAAGCCAGCCTGGGCAGGAGAGATCGTGAGACTCCTATCTCCAATAAACCACCAGAAAACCGGAAGTGGCGCTGTAGCTCAAGTGGTAGAGCGCTCGCCTTGAGCTGAAGAGCTGAGGGACGGCGCCCAGGCCCAGAGTTCAAGCCCCACGACCAACCAAAAAAAAAGAGTCTCACAGACTTTTCTGCCCTGGCTGGCTTTAAACTACAATCCTCACATCTCAGCCTCTTGAATAGCTAGGATGACATGTGTGAACCACTGGCCCCCAGCTTCA